AGGAGAATGGCCCTCGAGTGCTTTCCTCAGCAAGGACCTTACCCAGCGCCTGCAGCTTTTCATCCAAGGGACACAGAAACAGCGACTGCGTGAAAATCAGCTTGGGTACAGCAGTCTGGGTTGCTTCTGTGTGAACATGGGGAGTATTTGGGGCAAGTCACAGAGGAGAAGGAAAGGGCTTTTATTGACCCATGCTGGAAATGTGTCTGTGTGTGGACCCACGTGTGTGGTTCCCGATGCCTCGAGATCCTGCAGGATCTTACTTGGTCTCGATGAAGGGCACAGGAGGGGTTTCTCACTCGGTCTCTTTCCTTGTAAAAGCACTGGGACCCCTTCTCAGAGGCTTTTTCCCCCCTTTTCCCACTGCTGTGTCCCCAGCAGGGCCCCTCCTGGAGATGACGATGCTGAAGCTTTTTGGGCTGGTCCTGTTCTGCAGCCTCCTCTCGCCCTCTCAGGAGGTGCTGTCGGGGCTGTCCTGCGCCGTCAGCCCCACGGCGATGCAGCACGGTAAGCACATGGGAGCTGGGTTTGTTCTGAGCAATGTGGGATGGGGATGTGGACCCCCCGAGGGTCTTCGTCTTTATTTTATGGCTCCTTGGGGCTGCAGACGAGAGCTCCTGCTGGGGTTTCCTGTGCTGGGGAAATGTCTCTGCTCCAGGCTTCAGCACCCAGCAGCCATACACAGAATTTCGGGGCTAGATCTGCGTTATTTCCTCTTTTTGTCTCAGTTTCTCATTTCCATGGCGGAGCAGCCGATATTTGGCAAACAACCTCTGTGAAGTGTAGCAGCCGTGTTAATATTTGCAATGCTCCAGATAAAGAAATTGGCTTGTTTCAAGGCGCTTCTGTTTCAAACAAACAAGCAAACAAACAAACCCCTTTGCAAATGGGAAATGAATCATGGGCAAAGCTCCCTCTGAGCAGGGAGGCTGTGGGTGCTGGTGGGGGACAACATGGGGTGATCCTGGGTGGGTTTTAAGCCTGGGGTGCTCCCCACTGCTCCCCCTCCTTGTTCATTCACGAAGGGCCGGGTTGGTTTGGTGCATGCTGTAAAACATCACCCCTGGTGTGATTTGAGTGCCGAGGGGTTTGGGGGAGTTTTGGGACTTTGCTGTGTGATGCCACTGCCAGGACAGGTCTGACGGAGCAGGAGAGGCCCCGTCCTGACCCAGAGCTGTTCTGCAGTGCTCGCGGATGCCATCCTCCGAAATGGGCTCCTCCAGCAGCACCTGCAGGGCCTGGTGCTCCCCAACATCATGGGTGAAGGGGGTCTGCTGAACTCCCCCACCAGCATCACCGGGTAAGCAAGGGGGTGGCGAGGGCTTCCCCGTCTGCGCTCCTTGGGCAATAGAAAAGCAAACTCTGAGCTGCAGTTGGTGTGACCGACCCAAAAAGTCACCCTCGGTTTATTCTGATACTGAAATTCTGGCCCAGCAGAGGTTTTCTATGCGGTGGCAAGGTGACTGGAGCGGTGCAGGCGGTGGGTGCAGATGCAGAACAACAGCTCTGATGCTGCCATGGGTATCTCAGACACTTGGGAGAGCTGAGAGAGGGAGGAAGGTGCCGCAGAGGGGCAAAGCCAATGGCTCTGTGACGTTGCCTTCCACCCCATCTGATCCAGGGTGGCCTTCTCCTGGGTGTCAGCTGCAGGCGCTGTCTCCCATAAGGGCGCTGGGCCCTCCTGGTTGTAACACCCATGGCCACAGTGGGTCTCTGTGTGTCCCTGTGTGTCTCTGTGTGTCCCTCGATGTCCCTTGGCTCTCGGAGGTGCCGCTCATCTCTTGTTGCTCGCAGGCTGCACCTGGCCAAGATGCGGCGCCCCAAGCTGCTGGTGGGGCTGCTGTCGGGGATCGGGATGCAGCTCTCCATCACCGCCAGGCTGGAGCTCAGCGGCACCTGGTGAGTGCGGGGGCCATGCTGGGAGCCCCTCTCCACAGTCTCTTTGTGATTTCTGGAAGTTTCTTACCTCTAATAAAGCCCCAGCGCAGAGGAGGCTCCAAGAGGCAGGAGATGGAGGGGCCGTTGTTGCTTTGCCGAGTGTCTCTGGTTGCAGGTTGAGACATGAAATCTGTTCTTCACATTTGCTCTTTTCCAGCCTGGTTGACCTCATTTCAGAGCTGATCAGCATCTCTGTGGACGTGAACGTCACCGCGAGCATTAAATGCACGAATTTTGAGTCGGGCACGGTCCAGGTGGTCATTGAGGACTGCCTCTGCCTTCTCGGCACCGTAAAGATCAAGCTCCTCTCTGGGTAAGTGCCTGGGTTTTCGTTTTCCATGGTGGGCAATGCTCTGCTCTCTACTCGGGGCTGCAGCCGGTTCACCAGGACGTGGCCGGTGCGAAGCTGCGCTGGATCTGGGCCTCGGGGCTGTAATTTCTTTCCCGTTGCCAAAGCCAGATGCTTCAGTGGAACTGGCACTAAATGTGACTGTTGATGAGGGTTAATGTGCCCTCTTTGCCCGTGGAAGTGGTAGATTCTGCAGTTTGGTGCCTCCTCCTGCGCTTTGCTTAGCCAAGGGTAGCAGTGATGGGGCAGGGAGTGTTTTGGGAAAGCAGCACCATTCCTGCCCTGCTCCGTGTTCTGCCTTTGGCTGCTGGCACAGGCGATGCTGGCACCTTTGGTCCAACACCCCGGGTACGGGTGAGCCCATGCAAAACCCCCATCTCTTGCTCAGCCTTATTAAATCCTTGGCAGGAAGAACTTGCTGACTTCATATATTGATGAGCGCAACGGTAAACTGATCAGGGGAAATATTTTCTTTTATTGCCTTTGAATTACTCACTTCTCGGGTTCATCGCCTTTCTCCTAATTAATTTTTGCATTATGCATTGCGTTGCAGTCGGAGCAGCAGCTGGTTTGATGGAGGCTGTGCCAGGGAACAGAGCTTCCCTGCTCTGGGGGCTGTATTTTAGGTTTTAGCGGGACTGAAGTGGTGGTGTGCGGGAAGGGAGCTCCCTGGGGTGTGGATGTGCACCATGGCAGCTCCTCAGCTGTGTCCGCGAGCAGAATTTGGGCATAAATAACAGGCTGTGTTATG